CTCCTATATTTTGAGCCCATTTAATCATACAATCTTTAACTAATTCAGTTTCTGAGTCCAATTCTAATAAAACATTATATATCCTTGATGGACCATTTCTGGCTTTTTTGCCTTCATCAGTTAGCCATACCCTTTATGGGATTCGAACCTGGGCAGTTATACATACTAGTCAGTGATTTAGTCACTGAGCCAAAGCTTCCTAATATAAATGTTTACTTTAAACTTCACATGCCTCAAAAACGTTTTGCAAAAACTAACTTTTTAAGTATTTCTATGTCTTTTCCAAGAAATATGGGGGAGGGGAAATCTCTGGATTTTCAGCATTTACTTTAATGAGTATATTTATGTAAATCAGAATAGGAAGGGAACATTCTTATATAAGGAATAATGATAATAGAAAACATCATTTCATATCAGCTGCATGTGATACAGCTATTCACACTAAGATTTTAAAAATCTTACTAGTATTAAGTATGGCAAATTGTTTAATGTTGTATTTATACATTTAATTGCATGTATCTGAATAATCAGATAGTTTCTCAAACTTTATATCCAGAAAGGTCTGTCTATATTTTGTTGTTTGTTTTTGCAGTGGATAACTATATAATAAATTAAGATTTTCTTTTTACTTTCATCAAAAACAGTTTTTCTGTCACTTTCTTTTTTAATTAGTTCAATAACAAGCCAAGTAACGCCTCTTCCAGTTCCTCAAAACTGCCCTGTTTTGAAAGCATAGGAGAGGAAGTAAAGAGTGAAATTGCAATTCACCTTGCAGTCATTATTTACAGTTTCAGGGGAAAATGCTTATTTCCTCTGTAAGAATCAGCGAGGCAATGTGTATGTAGTGGGTACTTTATTTCATAACATGCTAAGATTTAGGTCTCTTAGTTCCTGTTGTACCAAAATCTGGCACCTGCAAACTATTCACAGATTTTCTGTTGAAAGTACTTTCCTGAGACAAGGTAGTACAGTAATGAGAGACAATTAGATTCTTACTTCATTTCCTGGGGAACGAATAGCAAAGGAACAAAGAAAAATCATTTGTGGGAATTGGAAGCTGCTTTGTTGTTTGTTTTTTAGCTTGGGAATATATTTGGATTGTTAAGAAAGTATATACTTTCTTATATGCTGTATGTTCCCTTCCATGCACAGAGGCTCTGCTCCTGAATTCTACCAAATAAATTCCCTTTTGTGCAGAACAAAAGCTGAACTCTTTCAGCAGGGTGCATAAATGGAGAAAAGAGGGAGACGAAATCCAAGCATAGAGGAGCACAGGGTGCTTCAGGGGAGTAGAGGAGGCTCAGAAAAGGCATTCGCAGCACTTGTATTCCCAGTAGTTTTTTTAAATGGATCTGTGAATAAAGACACAAAAACAAATTAAAATTGGACAATCCCATGTGCACAACATGTATCAAATAGCTGTGGAATCTGGGCCTCCCAGGTATTCATCCTAACATAATAATAACATTGCACATTTTACTGACAAGTCCATTTATCTTTGAAACAGCATCTCCAAACCACAAAATCTGATGCCTGACAAGACCAGTAGATTCAACTGCAAAGGAAAACAAGTTATATGAAGTGTTCTCTTTTTTGGTGCAGGCACCTCCATGGCTAAATTAATCCTGTGTTATATTTCTGTGACTGAATCACAAATTACCCAATCATATTTTGGCTCAATGGAAATCCGTGGTTATTTTGTGGTTTACTGTATTGTGTGAATCTGCAAAATTGGACTCAGTAAATCATTAATAAACAAACCGTTGTTAAATGTGATGTGCAAACATAGTTATTTCTGCAAGATCATCTACAATTACTAGTAAAGAAGTTATGTGCTTTCTCAGAAGGAAGCCAGTTAGAGATTCTACATTCCAATATATTTATTAATATCCATCCTGAATTATTTTATATAAATATTAATGTTCTGAATGTCTCAATGTGCAGGGTCTGCTTCTTTCATAGGTTTGCCTTGTTTTTGCAGTGAAGCTTATCAATACATGATAACAGTGGAGCAGGAAATGTTCAGTAAGCTTGCCATAAAGCCTGATGCTGATTAGGACAGAGAAGTGACTGGCCCCAAGTCATCTTTGACTAATCTGAGCATCCCCATTCCTAATCCATCTCCTTAATCACTATACCAGCTATCTAAATAATTTCTCTAAATACTTTTCACTATTCTCCATTCATAGGTGATTTTCAGGTGGTGGAAAATTTCTCTTCGGAGTGAATTCCGTGAAGCAAGGCCTGGAGAACTCAAAGAATCTCATGAAGATTTCTTGGATGATCCCTCCCTCCAAAGTAGAATACTATGAATTTAGTCATAGCTCAATGAGTGTACTAGTCTTTGAAGAAAATGCATGTTTGAAGAAAATGTGATAAGTCCTACTTTTAACAATTTTGTATAAAATTGGTAGTAGAACGCTATTTTGGTAGTAGAACGCTATTTTATTTTCATGACAAATGTGAAGGCATAACATAGTGCTAATAATCTGATGTCTTTTTTTAAAAAAAAAGTGTTAAAATTTGAGATTAAATATCCGTTATTTGTGGCATAGGAAATAATCTATGGATTCCTATTCAGCTATTTACAACAGATAAAGTCTATATGAAAATGCAATAATATTCACCAACATGTGGAGGAACAAATCTACTTTTGAAGAGTTTCGGTGTTCTTTAAAATTCTTATTTACTGATGGTGACAGTTCCCTTATGTCATTTAGGAAACTTAATGAAAAATATCATATTCTTGAAATGGTAGTAGAATTTGTAACATTCTACAGTATAATGCTTTGGATTTAATTCTAAAAGTTCCTTTAGTATGTTCTGTGTGCAAACATAGCACCTATCTGCAACTCTTTAAAACAATCCCATCTTTTTCAAGAATTGCAGTCCCAAGAAAAATTTCATCTGTTTGAGTTGCAATCTTGATATCTCCATAGTCCAAAGCCATTTTTGTAATGAAAGCTGAAGTGCTGCATAGTCCTCCTAATTTATCTCCCTCCAAAATATGAATTTGTATTCCCTAAAACAGAGGTCCCCAACCTTTTGGGTACCAGGGACCGGTTACGTGGAGAGAGGTTTTTCCACCAACTGGAGAGGGCATGGTTTTGTGTGCTACCAGCATCCCGCGGATAGGGCTTTGCTTGTTTGTGCAGCCCGGTTGCTGGCATGCCTCGGATTGGTACCAGTCCACGGCCCAGGGGTTGGGGACCCCTGCCCTAAAATACACTTGAATTGTCTTACATCTTGTTTACTTACAGTTGGTAAATTTGCATAAAACGTAGATGAATCAGATATGTTTTGGAAAGTTTAGATGATCTATTATTCAGGAAGCTAGGTGAATTTTTCCCAATCATGAACTAAATAATAGGAGAAAAATACTACTTATTTATTTATTATTACTGTAGCAGCCCAACTTAACAAGTGAGTTGGCTATCAACTCAAATAACTACAATTCTGGGCATTACTGTATACAGTAAGCAAGCAACAAAATAAACAAAGCATAAATAATTACAATATAATAATATGAATATATTATTTCATATAATACTATTACAGTGTATATTTCAATACTATACTCTCAAAAAGTAACATACACAAAGAAAAAGTATACACTTCAAATCATTACACATTACATCCAGCAACTTACAGTATTCCGTTTTAAACAACAGCATATGAGAAATATATAAACAGATATTAGTCATTTTCTTGATTTTGGACAAAGTTAAGTCTCTTTTGGTCATATCTCAACCACACCCCAATTTTCATAATATCAATGTGGATTTCATAATAAAAAGGGATTGTTATTTCATCCAATGAGTTACTGTATAGTGAAAAGTTGGTTATGATGGGCAAAAATAAGCTTTTCAAGCTTAGGCAGCAATATTGGAAATTCTGCAGACCTTATATTTAGACAAGGATGTAGTGACAGAATTCAGTGAACAGCCTCAAGGCCTTTATTATTATTTTTTCCAAGAAGGCAGACACTACATAACTATAATTGGATTAAAGTAAAAGAAGATGGAGAGATATTTTGGCGGGATAGTTCCAAAAAGATGCTAATAGGCAAATACAACATTAGCCATTTTTAAGCAATCCTTGCTCAGTTCCATTGTAATATCGGGAGGCATTTACAGACATGCTGTCATAAAATGTTTTTTTATCTCAAAAGATAAAGTAAAATTAAATTTGTCAAACCATTCTATGTCAGTCATTATTTTTCCCTGAAAAACATTGTGTGAGGTATTGCTTATAGCAAAATGCTTATGGAATAAACATTTAAATAGTGGAGAACTGATAATAATGTTTAAATGTTTCTAATGATAAATGAACATCATACCATGAAAAATAATTAAGTGTAATAATACTAATAATGCAGTTTTCCAATTTATGCAGAGTGTTGCTATGCTATTTAAAATAATTTTGTACAAGATATGATTTTGTGGAAATGCATGATTCTATACACATCAGAACTATAATATCTCTGTGTATGCATGTGTGCAGGCACATGCTTCAAACTTGAGTTCATTCTGTATTGTCAATAAGAAATATTTAAGGGTTCCATCCGCACAATAATGCTCTAGCAGCTTAATGAAGCTATTTTGATAGAAGTGCTTTGTTGGGAAGATTCCATTAGCAGAAAGACAATATCTGAATCCATGTCTATGTTGTATCATATTATAGCTTATGAAATGGAATTCATCTCTTAGTTTTCTACAAAATGTATAAATACAATATCAGGTTTTTTTTGCATAATAATCATCTAGGAAAGTGTAATTATATAAAAAATGGAGTGTCATACATCATAAGAGAGTCAGTTTGGTGTAGTGGTTAAGACACCAGACTAAAATCAGAAGACTGTGTCTTCTAGTCCCAGCCCTGAAAGCCAGGTAAGTGACTTTGGGCCAGTCATACTCTCTCAGACCAACCTACCTCACAGGATTGTTGTTATGGAGAAAATAGCAATGGGGAGAAGTATTAACTAGGTTTTCTCCTTAAGTTATTTATAAAAACAATAAAGGAAGATTAAAAATGTAAAATATTTTTTTAAAATGAAATTATAATCCTAATGTCAAGGTAACTGAGAACGACAAAAGATGGTTTCAGCCAGGTTCATTTCAGAAGTTGACACCTAATCCTTTTTGGCAACTTTATGAGGGAAATAGAATGGGGCAAAAATGTCCCTTTCTTGATAGTAAGAAATTTCACAGGAGGGGCAAATCTGTTGGTCCCATAGGCTCCCACCAAGCTGTGTTGGCATAGATTTATAGACAGCAGCATTCCTACTGGCAATACAGCCTGAAAATCACTCACAGGGATCTATAACCTCTTTAATAGTTCAAGTGTCTTTAGGATTGGGTTCATCAATAATTCCAACCTATTGTTATTGGACAGAGCAATCTTAAGTCAGTATGGGGGCTTGTTGGCACTACTACCCTCTATAAATGGAAGACACATTTGGATGCTACCCCAGATACCTTATGGATCTGAATAGATTCCTACAGGAAATCATTCAGATTCCTTGGAGATTTTCTCATTGAACTGGCAAATAGTTTAGTTACATACTTGCTCAGTCTCTGAAACCCAGAGGTGATAAACACGCTAAATGCAATTCCTATCAAACAACTTCTGCCTGCCTGTCAACCCCAGGAAATTCCTTCATTCGCTAAGGAGCTCTGTAATATAAAACAATTGAAGAGAAACCTGCAGCATCAGTGGTATAAAATAAATAGTGACTAAGACTGAACATAAATATGAGCTCAGGTTTGAATCTCCAATGTGACTATACAGCAGTAAAGAAATAGATTTTTCTGTATTTATTACATTGTGAAATATCATCTAGCAGCTCTGTTCAATGTGATATGCACCCTGTTGAGAATGGGCAAGCATCAAGACATAAACATAGTTAAAAAAAAAACATTCCAAAATTTTCTGTTCCACTCAAAACAATAGAAAAGCCTTTTACTCCATGATACTAAGATCAGCCTCCGGAAGGTACCCATCTCTATGTTAAGCCTTCTTTTACAGCCAATTAGCGTTCTTCATTATCTTTCATCCTTCACCCTCATTTTCATTATTCTCACCATCCCGCAATTTCAGGATTTGCTTTTTCTGACAGTCCAATGGAAGCATTATCTCTATGCAGATACAATAAAGCAACCAAGGTTGGACCTTGAGTCAAATCTTTCAAGGGAAAAGGCTGCTATAATGCTTCAAGGATAGATGTTTCACTTGTGCAATGCATATTATAATCGGTCCTTTTCAAATGCTTTGTACAGCTCTAGGAGAGAATAGTAAAGAAGAATCACTGTTGTTACATGGTGGTGTTCTCCACCTTGCTGAGAATTATGGAATTTACCATCCCAGATCATTTCAGGATGAGGTTGAAATCTGTTATAATACTGATTCTCAAACGAGTTCAACAACTCAAGGATCAGTGGGTTATAGCAATGATTCCTTAAGTACTGTCTAAATTGTAAGCAATAAACCTGTTTAATATGTATTGATTATACTTAAGTTTCTCTGACTTAGTTGTACTTTCTAAAATTGCAGTTCAAATAGCCATTGTGTTTGGAGCAAGCACTCTGGAGCATATCTTCAATCTGTGCAGAGGTAATTTTGATTTCCTGGTGCGACTGCCTGATACATTACTTCTGTACATCATGTCTTATTTGGATCTTGAAGACATTGCAAGGCTTTCCCAAGTATCACACAGACTTGAAACGGTAAAAATGAACTTGATATGTGTGAGCTTTTAATTCTAGTTCTACATAAATATTTCTAAAGATCTATGGTACTTTGATTTCTTTATTAAAGTCTTATAGTAAAACCTCAATTTGCTAAGCTAATTGTGGAAGGCTGTCCTCCATACAATATGTATAGTATCAATGTTCTTTTCCTTTTCCTTTTTTTTTTTGAATAGCTAATATTTCTATTTAGCAGCATAAGAGGCTTAAATGTGGGTAGCTGTACTATTCAAAATCCATGCAATAAACCAACTTCATGTTTGGTTAGTATTTTGATAAAAAAACTAGCAGAAATGCCAGGATTCCAGACTAGATTCGGAAGTTGAATAGCATCCTGGAAGAGGAAACAGTAGTGCCCTTTTATAGGAAGGCACTAGAATTCAACTGCGATTCAAAGGAGACTGTATTTTTTAAACTGGATTGCATAGCTCAGTGATTTCTTCCCTATGTTATATATAACCATTTGACTTGACCAATTTAACTTTGTTACACTGTCATAAGATACTTTTATTGATAATATATTGTATATCTGCATTTCATCTGGCACGTTAACCAGGGATGATCTGCATCGTTCGTTATTATAATAAAGTGCCTTGCCATTTCTATCGTCTCTAAATTTTGAAATCATTAAAATGCCAGTAGAGGGAGCTTAAACCTAATACAAAACAGAAAGTAATGGAGATGCATTTTTAACAGAGTTTAATTTTGATTATAAGTATGGTTTATTAGTTCTTTTAGTAAAGCATTCTAAAAAATTCAAATATTAACAAGCTTCAAGAAAAAAATGTTTTAGAAAGTAATCCTACATTTATCTATCAAACATAATTGAGCCTTAAGATTTATCCCTAGGTAAATGGATATAGGATTTATATAGGATTTCAGATCTTATTTTTTACCATTATTTGATTCACATAAATGATTACAGATCAGATATGTACTTTCAGAGTGTTGCAGCTCTGTTATGTGACATAAAGATAAATTTGATAAAGAATTTTATTTTTTAAAACATGTTATCTAAGGTTCATTTTAAAAAGCAAATCAGAATCTATGATACAAACAACCATACAAACCATTCTGCTTTTGTTTCCTGCATTAAAAATATATGCTTATGCTTGATGATCCAGTTTATTTACATTCAAATAAATTGTTGGATGTTTTATGTTTTAATTTCTGGTAGCATATACAGCTTCTTAATCACAGTTGGCCAAACTCCAAATTCAACCGTGAGGAATATTTGAATGTTATTGAACCTCCATTGTTTGTGACCATTGCCCATACTCAGTGGTGGGATTCAAATATGTGAACAACCAGTTCTCTGTGTGGATGCCGCTTCAGGAAGTCCATTCTGGGCCTGGGCAACAAAAAAATAGCTACCAGTTCTGCCAAAGTGGTGCGAACTGGCGAATCCCACCACTGCCCCATACTCCATGGGATAGGAATCTAATATATCGAAGGCCACAAATTTCTGTTCTTGTCTACTTCCTGGTCAACCAGTTGCTAGTGTTTTTGTTATTAGCATAACATCTTGTTTCAAGGTTGCTGGCACACACTTGCAAAGCTGAAATATGTACTTCAGTTAAAACAGATAACAACAGATAGGAATGTAGCTCAGATGCCTAGTAAAATGCATTTGCCTGAAAAATGCTGGTACAGGCCAAGAAGCAAAAGCATCACCCAAATATGTTCCAAGAGCCACAGAACGTCAAATGAGGTAGTCAGCCAAAGAATCACGAGTTACAAAGCCAAATGGTTATCTCCAGCAAAAGTCTGCAAGGAAAGCAGTTACCTAAATCTGTCTGCTAATAGTTGGCTGCAACCACTCATGCCTCACAGTTTGTTTAGTAAGGAGTCTCATTGAGGAGAATGGCTCTGCTTGCCTCTGTAGATGTCTAAACCTGGGGCTTGGGGTTGTGTAATGTCATCAGACTGTTACACCAGAACAGAAGATGCCTGTGGCTGATCAGGCTCAAATGAATCATGACCTATTGGGTCCTGAGGTTGACAATCCTGAAGCACAGACTCAACTGGAGCAACATCATCAGATTCAAAATGGATGGTTGTAATAAGTAACTGAAATAAAGGATGGTTCCTAAATAGTATTTGAATTATTTTTAAAATGTAGAGTTGATACTCATGGTGATAACAGGTACTATAAATGTGAATTCTCAAGCTTCCTCCTGTTATATATTCAAGGTGGACAGTATTTAATTTTTATTTGTTATGTAGGGGTGTGGGTCTATACACATGTTGTACATGGTATATTTAAGTGTGTGTCATGTATGTGTTTCACTTTGAGAGCGGGCAACGAAATTTCATTTTTGATGTGTGCCGTTGTGCCCATAGTAAAAAAATGACAATAAAGGTTATCTTATCTATCTTATCTAAATTATGGATATGAACATTATTGTGCAATTGTCTATTTCATTTTTGAAAAAACTTGCAAATACTGGAACTCAAACAGCCCAATGGAATCAGATCCTAATATTTATTTGCTTCTAATAAAATAAATTTATTTTTATCTGCTCATACTTTTTATTTCTTTACAAATAGTTATGCAACTCTGACAAACTATGGGAAATGATTGTGCAAGATTTATTGGGCACCATCACACCAGAAATGAAGTCCCTGGCAGAAGAAATTGGGTGGAAGCAGTTCTTCTTCACTAACAAGCTTCAGCTGCAATTACAGCTCCGAAGAAGGAGAAATAAGTCAGCTGGTTCTTCTGCAAGTCTGACTGATTAGACAAGTATTTTTCCTAATTAAACATGTTGAAATGTGTGGATTTTCTTTTCTTTTTTTTCTTTTTCTTTTGGTAAGCTGAACATCTTGTTTAGCTTTTTAGAAAAAAATCTGATCACAAGATTTGAATATATAGGCTGCCTTAAAATATGCTATTAGAGATGTCTGAGAAAATCTTTGTTATACTATATTATTCCATACATTTTCATTTAATATTTCATTTAAATTGCATTTTGTTCTCCATTTGTTTTCAGTAAATTTAAATTGTTCACATTTTATTGTCTTTTTATGTCTTTTTTTGCTTTATTGGGACTGTATTTGGTGGCCAGCAGGTAGCAGCCACCTTTTATTTTATACCACTGTTATCAACAGTGATTACTAATATGAATGTATGGATACATAGAGAAAGCTGTTGTTTTTCTTTTCATACAATACCTGGAATGACACAATATCTGTAGCATTCTAAGAAAATAAAATGAGAACTTCCAGGAGATGGCAAATGTAATCAGCTACAATTATCAAGAAAAGTTAAAAATCCCCCCAATTAATCCAAATTAACGTCAAATAGTAAGACTGGGATAACGAAAACTCATTTGTTTTTTGGTTTCGTTTGCTATAAATCTGTTATGTACTCTCCTTTAATCAAATTATTAACATTTCTATCCCACAATTTCATTGACAGAGCAAACATTTTTTTGTCAAGCTTTAATTCTAAAGTCCTCAGAAAATCTATCCCTAAAAAAAATTAGGGAGAGGAGTCTTACATCCTATGCCTGTGAAACAATTTCTCCTGATAAGCATTTCTACAAAATTGAGTAGCATTTAATTTACCAAGAAATGTATTTGCCAGGCAAGAGTGGTAACTTCCTGACACATGACAGTCATACTGTGAATTATAAATTTCCAGCATACTAAATCCCTTGTTCTTTCATAAATGTATAAAAATGTGTAATGTTTTTTCTGTAGTTTTAAAATGCTGATTCATCCTGAGTGGCTCAAAAACATCATAGACTGAATGATAAAGCAATATTGTTCATAAGGACCCTGATTATTTGCACTGTAAAGGATCTTTTTGTTACCTAACATAATACTTTATAAAATATTTATAAAGATGGGGCCATTAATCTTATAATAGGAAAATAGTGTTTCTACTTTAAAAAAAAAATTAAAATACAGCTAGATGATCTGAAACAATGCAAACATGACCATTTTCTACTTTAACTTAACAACTTCAAAAAACATTATACCTATTTTTTTCCTATTGATATAGGGTGTTTGGTGTTATACTTTTAAAATAATTATACTTTCAAGACTAGAATTATCTACTACAGAAATAAATGTGTGTGGGTTTCTTTCAGTATCTTTTTATTTGTTTTCTATTTCATTAACTACATATGCCAATATTTTAGTTAGCACATTAATATGTCTTGTCCTTTAATAAAATATTCCATTTGGAAATTTTTAAATATTTGATTTTATATATGGTAGAAAAATAATGTGTCTTTTTATTATAAATATCTAGATAAAATCCTTATATTAAAAATTAAATAATACTGTGCAATATAGTTTAATGTTCAGTTTAATTATATAAAAACTTCTGCAGAATAATGGAGTTGGAAGGGGCCTTGGAGGTCTGCTAATCCAGGGCTTTTCAACTGGTGGTACGCATACCACCTGTGATACATTGGCACCTGGCAGGTGGTACGTGACCATCCTAGTAAAGTGGTAGCAGGGGAGGAGAATGAGCTGAACCGGCGCAGCACACTCAAGCCTGAGCGAGAGACGGCTGGAGCTGAGGGCTGTCAGGGCTCAGCGGAAGCACCAGGATTAGCGCTGATTTCCAGCTGATCGGCACTTCTTCTGGGCTGTCAGGGCTCAGCGGAAGCGCCAGGATCAGTGCCAGGCTCCAGCTGATCGGCGCTTCTTCTGTGCTGTCAGGGCTCAATGAAAGCGCCAGGATCAGTGCTGCTTTCCAGGTGATCGGCGCTTCTTCTGGGCTCAGCGGAAGCGTCAGGATCAGTGCCACTTTCCAGCTGATTGGTGCTTCTGCACTATCAGGGCTCAGTGGAAGCGCCAGGATCAGCGCCAGGCTCCAGCTGGAGCTCGGCACTAATCCTGGCACGTCTGCTGAGCCTAGAAGAAGCGCTGATCACTGGAAAGTGGTACTGATCCCAGCGCATCTGCTGAGCCCAGAAGAAGCATCAATCACCCGGAAAGCGGCATTGATCCCGGTGCGTCTGCTGAGCCCAGAAGAAGCGCTGATTAGCTGGAAAGTGGCACTGATCCCAATGCGTCTGCTGAGCCCAGAAGAAGTGCCAATCAGATGGAAAGCGGCACTAATCTCGGCGTGCGCGCTCGCACACACACAAACACATGTGCAGGTCTGGGAGAGGTGAGCTGAGCTGAGCCAAGCCACGCAGAGGCAATAACAGGGGGGAGGGGAAGCCTTTGCCCACCACTGCCTGCCTGTTGCCGCCTCTTCCCGGAGCATCTGGCAGTTTTGAAAAAAAAGCAGGGGAGGGAGGGAGGGAGGGAGGGAGGGAGGGAGGGAGGGAGGGAGGGAGGGAGGAAGGAAGGAAGGAAGGAAGGAAGGAAGGAAGGAAGGAAGGAAGGAAGGAAGGAAGGAAGGAAAGTCAGGGAGGGAGGGAGGGAACTTGGATATAAAAGGGGGGAGAGAAATTTGTTAAATGAACTTTGCCCCATTTTATGGCTTTTCTTGCCACAGTTGTTAATCACTGCAGTTGTTAAATTAGTAACATGGTTGTTAAGTGGATCTGGTTCCCCCACTAACTTTGCTTGTCAGAAAGTTGCAAAAGGCGATCACATGATCCTGGAACAATGTGACCATCATAAATATGAATTCGGTTGCCAACCATCCAAATGTAAATCACATGACCAAGGGGATGCTGCAACTGTCAAAAGTGTGAAAAATGGTCATAAGTCAGTTTTTTCAGTACCATTGTAACTTTGAATAGTCACTAAGCGAACTGTTGTAAGTCGAGGACTACCTGTACTTTATCACTTTTTTCCATTTTTGGGGGGTTATCAAGTTTTTGACACCTTCCTAGGTGACTGGTGGTACTCGAATGTTGCCATATTCTAAAAGTGGTACAATCGGTGAAAAGGTTGAAAAGCCCTGCTATAAAACATGGTGAAAAATAGATCTGAGTCCCCGTTCTGAGGAAATATAGTAGCCCAAATTATCCAAAGCAAATAGATTTGATCAGTTAGGGGGAGTGTTCCCTCCTCGCTCTCAGTGTCGGTGAAGTTGCTTTAAGAATGATTTTTTTTTCGGGCATAGATGGTGGTGAGACAGAGGCTGTAGAGTACAAAGTATTCTGGGTTGTAAAACAAAGTATTACAGCCTTATTCTATGAATACTTGACTTGGCTTTGAATTCATCCTTAAAAAAATCTGTAATTGTCCCAGATTCTTGTGATCAGTCTGGACTCTTACTCTATTTTATTCCTTCCAGAAAGGCCTCCTTTATGGCAAAAACTCCTTATTAAAACTTAGTAATTCCTCTCAGCTGGCAAAAGTTATCCAGACAAAAATATGCAAAGAAACAGATTGCCTGCAGTACAGGCTGTAAAAGCATTGCTTACAGAGTAAAACTTGAGGCATCATTTTTAATAACAAAGGGAGGGAGAGATTTGGGTGGCAGAAATGGGTTGGGAGGAAGGCTTGTTGAGTGCCAGGATCTCAATTAAAAGTTTATCAATTCTATGAGTGGCATAGCCTAAAATGGTAAAATATGGAATAAACTTACAAAAGTTAGCAAGCCCAGGAAACACTGGAAGTGTACAAAAGTGAAGATGGTGGTCCTGAGATAGGAGAGCCTTCACAAGAGGATTCATTTGCCTACCTTTTAAGGAAATACAATATCCAAAGAAGGCCAACTGATTTTTCTTTCAAGTAAACACTCAGATTGTGTTAGCAGTAACTTGAAGTCTGTGTGCAAAACACTCATCTTATTTTTCAGAATAAATTAACAGGTTAACTAGACAGGTATTTGTCCAAAGGGAAAAGTGTGATTAATAAATTAATGAAGATTGCAGGAAAATTGGCCAAACTGAGTTCCATTACAACATATTGAAACTTGTAACTAGTATCAAATACTGTTAAATATTTATGCCCCTCTTTCATATGGTTAAGATATAACGTCTCCAAAATAAAATTTGGTAAAAAATGTATGTTTTGTCTATCTATTTTAAAAGTTCAGAAATAAGTGAAAGAAGGTAACAGAGTTCCAGATCTAAAATTATGAACCACAGCAAGAGATATTTCTTTTTTTCATAAAAAAGACAGAGTTCCAGGTAACATAGAAGACTGGTGAACAAAACCCATTTAATTGCTTATTCTACAATATTTACATTCAAGACAAGTGAAAAAGAAAGAATAAAACAAATAATAGAATAATAAAAATTAATGATAGCCATTCATCCCATTTACAATTTGTCATCAATAAATTCATTTAGGCACACCAATTGAGTTCCAGATACAAACATTTTGCTGAGATCTTAGTTCCAATAATTTTACAAAACCATTGGATGAGTAAATTCTATGTTTTTTCACTTCCCAAAATGTTTGTGTGGTCAACGTATCTGGCAGATAAAATAGCAGATGGAGTCTAACTGATGGAGTGAGTCAGATCTTGAAATCTATTATTCTAGCGTAACTAAATATCAAACATAATGGTTTCTTGGTCCCAGTGAATACACACATTATGAATCTGAAGTTAAGCCATTGCCAAACAATAGGAAAATGCATCAGGATGTCAAATTCAAATAAAGAAGTTCTTGATAATGATATCAGGAATGATTCTGTGCATTCAGAAACTGAGCCAGACCTTAAGAGCTTGTCATTGATATTTTCATCCACTTTGGGAATTTATTATGCTGAGAAGGCATAGTAGTGTATGATTGCAGAGATCATAAAATTGCCCATGTAGAATAGAATAGAATAGAATAGAATAGAATAGAATAGAATAGAATAGAATAGAATAGAATAGAATAGAATAGAATAGAATAGAATAGAAGTCACCTGGTCCAACCCCCTGCCCAAGCAGGAATCCCTACATCATTTCTGACAGATGGCAGTCCAGTCTCTTCTTGAAAGCCTCCAGTGATGAAGCACCAATAACATCTGAAGGCAGTCTGTTCCATTGGTTGATTGTTCTCACTGTCAGGAAATGTCTCCTTATTTCCAGGTTGAATCTCTCCTTGATCAGTTTCCATCTGTTATTCCTTGTCTGACCTTCAGGTACTTTGGAAAATAGGTTGACCCCCCCGTCTCTGTGATAGTCCCTCAAATTTTGGAACACTTCTATCATGTCTCCCCTGGTTGTTCTGTTCACTAGACTAGCCAGGCCCAGTTCCTGTTTTAGCCTCCAGTCCCCTAATCATCTTTGTTGCTCTTCTCTGCATTTTTCTAGAGTCTCAACATATTTTTTTATATTGTTGAGACCAACATTGGTTGCAGTGTTCTAGGTGTGGTCATATTAAGACTTTATAGAGTGGTATTAGTGATTTTGACTGAATCCCTCTGTTAATGCAATTTAGGATTGCATTGGATTTTTTTTGGCTGTTGGCTCATATTGGAGAACATAGTTGTATTGCATACCATCTTAAATCTTAAGAGTAACACAAAGGACCACATAGTCCCAAACGTGCTTTTCAAAAGGCAACTGGACTTTGTTGATTTTTTTCCCTTAAGACGTTTCGCTTCTCATCCAAGAAGCTTCTTCAGGTTGAAGAAGAAAAAACTGAGTAAGTTTCTTGGATGAGAAGCTAAATGTCTTTAAGGAAAAAAAACAAAGAAACTCTAGTTACCTTTTGAAAAGCACTTTTGGGACAACCATGACCTGGATGATTTTTGCATGTCAGTACTGTTTTTTCATTTACAGAAAGAGTCTTCCTGCTAGCTTGCAACTGCCATTAGAATATTGTAATGAGCAAGAAGAGGAAAGAAGGCGAGAGAACCATGAGCTTTTCTTTTGTCACAGTAGCATTGTCACGATTCTTGAGTTTTCTGTTTTCAGATTCAAAATTAGATTGACACAGGCAGGATCCCTGAAATTCCCTCCCCAGTGAACTCATCCCATAGCTCATCAGCTAGGCCCTCTTTAAACTGGTGGTTTAATCCCTTTATAGTTCAGTTTAAATCTTGACCTAATATCTAAAAGTCTACCACATATGCACTCATTAAGCATCTTGTCACAGGCAGTTGATTTTATGGTAGGCTGTTATCACTTCAGCAGAATTATCAAAAACACTCCTCAAACACGTCACAAAATCATCATCATTATCCACATTTAGACTATTTTGAATTAGAAGGGGTGGGAAGTTTTATACCACGGTCCATTATTCAATATTCATATGAAAAGTGTACTTCACACCGAGTGTGAAAGATCATAATTTTGCCTACATTCCCATCATATTTGCCAGGCAAAATGAGAGAACATGGGAGAACTGTAATTATAGCAGCTATTAAACCAATAGTTGCTAAGTCAATTAGAAACTGCAATAGGATTAGTGATGTGTTTGGCTATGGTAAATTCTGGTTCATTAGCAGAGCTAGATGATTCTTTGAATGGACTGATCTTTCTAGGTTGCTATTTGATACTGATTTTGGAGCAAAGCATTAAAATGTAACCTATAGTAAAGAGGATAGCAAAAGGGGGTCAGTAACCATGGTCTTGGTCTAGAAAATCCGAACTCGTCTTTCAGTGGATCAGAAATAAGGAGAAATGTCAGGTATATCTGCTTTGGTCTCTTGTAATAACCTTCCTGCTGAACTTTGCAATCTCAAAGGAATCTGTACTTGATATCCTATTATAGCAGCAAGCAATTGCAGAAAGATAAAAATCCATTCTACCAAACTAGGAACTTGACAGTATTTATATGCATGCCCCAAGATTCGAATCTTCTTTCCCCTACTTAATATTTTTGGCGGAGGGTGCAAAGGATTATTTGCAGACTTTTTCTCACACTGACCCTCTATTTGGCCTTTGATGGCAAATAATCACTTCATACCCAAGCTCTTTGTTTCCTGCCTTTTATCTCCAATTTCACAAAAATTAATGTTCAATTATTAATTGACATGCACCTCAGTATAAGGGTTGAGATTTTCAGTTTTATTTAACACTGTTAGCTCCATCAGATATATAATTTGATACTTCCTTCAGAAATGCAAGTTTTCTTCCATAAAAACATGAATGGTTCTAAATATTTTCATTTTCTATATTTTTTCCTGATGATGGCTTTTCCTTGTCCATATAAGGCTGAATGAGCAAAGTAAGTATTCCCACCATATAAAGGAAGCCACATATGTAGAAAGAAAAGTCATATTTTTGTGTGAGATCATAAATCCATCCTAGAAAATAAAAAGAAAGCAGTCAATGGAATCAATAAGGTCAAGAAGCAAAGAACATTACTTTTTCTATTAATACAGTATTACTCGTTGACACAAATCTATGTCTAACTTCTTTTTTCATCTGTAACCAGATCATCATACATTACATTAATTTCCCCACTCTCTTAAATCAGTCCTTTCTCTCTTATTGTCTTAAGCCTGAAACACTAGCGGGATACTAATGTGTTTCTTCAAATGTATATTTAAATGCACTTTTTCTATAAAATGTCTGGAACATCCACTTAGATGGGCAACTTTGCTTCACTGTGGTAGACATGACACTGACCAATTCAGTTCCCATTCTTTCAAGGGTAATTTGGGTAAGGGATTCAGATGGAGTTTATTTTTATTTGCATAAAAGTAAACCAAATCATGCCACCAAAAAATACTGTTTGCCAATAAACATGCTGCAAAAAATGGGTGGCATATTTTGCAGTTTGCTGATCTAGGTCCTAAATCCTATTTTCACTAAACATAAGTGCATGTGATAAAAATACATGTATTCCTGTTTACTTCTCTTTTCAATTTCTTCACCTTTTTCTACTCCTTCATATTTATTAAAATTGTAGAATCCTGATCAGAAATAACAACATTTCAGCCATGCATTTCAAACTCCTGCTCCATAATGACATCCAAATTAAAGTATTCCCAATAAACATCCAGCCTCATCAGGAATTTATCCCTCTATCCCTCAAAATAGTAGAGTCCGTTGTTTAAAATGCTCTTAAGTATTAGAATTCCCTTTTCCAAAACAATTCAGTAAGAATCTGACTTCCTGAAAGGCCATTACTGTCATTCCTGCATTCTGAGATACCGGTAACTATATCACCCTAATTATTACAAATAAAAACAATAACAATAATGTAATAGTAGTACGGGATAATAAATAAGTATTTCTATAAAGGAACTGGCTAAAACCTGCCTCTCCTTGACATATTTTGCTGGTGTTTTGTAGAAAATGAACAATATCTGCTGATTTTCAAACTTTAGTATCAGGGCTATGCAAAATATTCAAATTAGGTTTTTATAATTGGCAGGCATGCCATCAAAGCAGTTGCTATGTCTTTTCTTCCTAGAGAAGCAAAGTAATTGAGCATGTAAATATAGGCAGAGATCAGTCATGATGGCAGTAGTTAGAATGCAGCATTTGCCCACAATCAGGAGTTTGATCCTGACTGGCTCAAGGTTGACTCAGACTTTCATCCTTTCGAGATCAGCAAAATGAGGACCCAGATTGTTGGGACAATATGCTGACATTTATAAACTGTGCAGAGAGGGCTGTAAAGCACTATGGTGTGGTATATAAGTCTAAGTGCTATTGCTAAATTAACATGAAAGTCCAATAAAATGTTACATTTACCTGCAAATGGTGGTCCCAAGAGTGCTGATATCCCATTGGCGCAAATGATGATTCCGTAGGCATTTGCAAGATGCTTAATCCCTACTAGATCTTCAGTGACAACAGGCATAAGTGAAAAATATCCACTAGAAAATCCTATTAGGGCACAAACCACCGCTAGGCTAGCAAATGTATGCATTAATGGCAAAATAAAAATGCAACAGACAAGAGTAAAATTAGCTGCCATGAAGACATTCCAAGCACTGATGCAAGGCAAATCAGAGATTATGCCAAGGATGACCTTCCCCAAAATGTGAACAATTGCAATAATTGAGGTCAAAGGAAAGATATCATTCTGTGCTGATAACCTGTACTGTTTCACTATTTCAGGGAGATGGATGAAAGGGATCACAAAAGTGCTATAGGCAAATAAAGCCCAAAATACAAAAGCTGCAAATGTTCTGTTGGTGAAGAGAGAAGCAGTTCCAAAGTAACTAGAATACCAGGTCCTGAAGCCTTTCTGGCTTGTGACCGTCAGCTGGCCTACTCGCTTCAGAATACCAAGAGTATAGATTTCCTTTTGGTCTCTGATTCCATCTTTATTTTCCAAGGCTGAAATTTTGGCAGTCTTTTCTTTTGCACCCTGTCCTCCCTTTGCCTCTTTCTTCACTTCCCTTAAAACACAATTGGATGTTAGCACTTCGGCAGAGCAGGAGAGAATTTTTGTTGGACTATTGCTTTGATTCTTGTTTCCATCCTTGCTTTGCTCAGTAGCTTCCTTCTTGTGATGAATTGGTCTCAGAAGTGCTCCACAAACACACAAGTTTAGACAGACTGCACCATGAATGAACACGGCATTCCTCCAGCCAAACTCCAAACAAAGATATTTCAACAAAGCTGTCATCAGGAAAGCACCAAAGCCTGTTCCAGTTGTGCTGAGTCCCTGGGCAAGAGCCCTTCTCTTTTGAAAATATTCTCCCACCATGACTACAGCAGGCAGGTATACCATCCCACTTCCAATACCTAAAACATGAAACATTTTAGACACATCCAGGAACCCTCCAAGATTGTGCTATTAGATGAAGATTAACTGCCAGACAATCCTAAAACAGCTATGAAAGGCTAGGTTAAATATCTAGATTTTTGCAAACAGAGACATGTGGTTTTAGGTTTTGGACCTCAGGGACTAGAAATGGGACACGAATCGTTCTAGGATCTTTTCAAACTTTTTGTGTTGAAAGTAGTATTTCATCCTAAACTCATTGTCGATGGTCACATTCCAAAGCCATCTCTCCTAGAACAAATCTACACTTCAACTGTTAAATATCAACTAAGTTATTAAATTTGGGTTACAACAAGGTGTACGGTTTGTTAGGAGGCTCTCTCTTGATTTATTTTGAAAGAGGGTATCTACTTTTTTTAATGTAGACTTAAATTCATAATAAATACATATTTGTGGTTCATATCAGTCAGGCTTTAGGTCAATGAACTGTTACTATTTTGCAGCTGTTTTACTCCTTCCTTCTGGGCTAGTTCTAGGAGAGACCTGATCTAAGACCATTTTCAGAATGCCAGAGGATTCAATACTCTCCCCACTTATTCAGTTTACAGTACATCTGACACTGCTAGGCTAGATCATCAACTGTCAAGTATTATTAGTGTGCAGATGATTGCATATAGATCCCTAGCTAGGCACACAATGCTGTGGAAGATGTTCCAGTGCCTGGAGACTGTGAGGGATGAGGAGGAACATCTTAGGCTCAAAACTAGCAAAACTTAGTGGCATTGGTTTCAAGGACCTGCCAATCACAATGTTTTACATTCTACAGTTCTGGACTAAATATCACTTCTCCAGGTAGAACTAATACATAATTTGGGAGTTCCTTTGGATTCTTGCTTCCTACTCAGGGAATAGGTGAAAGTAGAATCCAGAGCTTTTGAAGTCCCATCATGTGCCAAATACAACCTTTCCTGAATCAGATGGGCCTTCTCTCTGTCACTCATGTCCTAGCAGCTCCAATTTGGACAATTGCAATGCCCTCTATATAGGGTTACTCTTCAAGACTATTCTAAAATTCCAGCTGGTCCAAAATGCAGCTCCATGAATAGTTATGATTGAATACATGCGGTGTTATATATGCAACTTAACCCCTTAATCAAACTTATATAGCCTGAAGCTACAGACTATGTGTTCACAGAGAAGATGAACTCATTTGCTGCCAGATTTAGGCTTGTTTGTGTTAGCATTATCTATATTCTTCAGATTTCCTAATGTATATCCAATATTTATGCTTACCAGTTATAATTCCAAATGTAATGAAGAGGTAATGTACATTTGAAGCATAGGAACTTAATATCCATCCCAGGGCATTTAAGATTCCTCCAGTTATTGCTGTCTTCCGACATCCACAGGTGTTAATAAACAAACCGATAAAGGGACCTGTGACAGAACACGTGAAATAAGATTGCCTTCATGAACTCTAATTATTTTCTTCATAAATATGAGACTTAGAAGCATTTGACTACAATTTGCCAAATCATTATACATTGCATAAGCATTAATTGGTAAAGGTCTACACCCAAAGATTTGTCCAATTATTTCTTATCGATACATGAATTTTGGACACTAGATTACAGCGATAAGACCTTACACAAATGCAATGTGACTCAAAAAGCTAAATGTTAGTGGTACAAAATTATATAGCATCTAAGGTTCTATACAGGTAGTCCTCAATTTATGATCACAGTTCAGACTGGAACTTCCATTGTTAAACAATGTGGTTGTTAAGTGAATTGCATGCAATTTTATGACCTCTTTTGCCATAATCGAACTAGCTATAAATTAGAAATTGGAAGGAAATCAGTTTACCATCATCCTATATTCCAGCCTATTGGAAGAACTGGCCTATTTAATCAATGTAAACCTGGCCTGATATAATCTTTGGCATAAATGGCTGAGGATGAATGCTTTAAACTTCCAAGCTGTCATACTGTAATCCAATCAGCTATGATTACAGTGTTTGTCTTAATATTTTTATCTGGAGAATAGTGCTATTTATCTGACAAGTATTTGTAACATCACTTTCAGCAATAAGGAAATAAGCTGTATGCTTTGCCAAAAAAATATGCAAGCTTTTGAAATCTATTAGGAACAAATAAACAAAAATAACAGAAGACACTAGAAAGTCTATCCCTCAACAAAATTCCAGCCATTCTGAAATTTATTTCTATGTTCTAATTTTATTTTATGTTATTTACATGAACGCACATTTATCTCCTTTTAAATTAAGTCTCTTTATTTTAAGTAATCCTGGCGACTGATTTGAGCGAACTCTACCATAATTCTTAACATAAATATATTTCTCCTGCTGTTTGAAAAGGTCCTCTTCAATAGCCCAAGAGAAGTAGAAAGTGCTTGCCAAAATTGTATTCACTTTTTATGAACTATCTTTCTTGTTAATGATTAACAGAGCAAAAATGCTGATGTCTCAGTTACAATCTGCAAAGCGTTCATCTGTTTTCCTCCAGATTATGTAATCCTGTTCAGAATACTAAAAAATAGGATAAAATAATTTCTTAGCACTTAATGCAAAACAGAATTATTTCTCAGTGCCAGACTTGAGGGGTTTCTTTAAATCATTCCAAAACAAGATTTTTTTATATAATTTTGGGATTATTTTATGAGATGAACAGAACTGCCAGTTTTTCAAGTTTGAATCAGTGATAGAGTAATTTACCATAAACCATTTACAAGCAACTATAGCATTTCTGTCCCATACTTATTATCTGAAAAGCTGCTAAAAATTAATTCAGAAATCCTCAGATGACCAGCTGAAAACCTCTTAAGAACATATGCATTATGCTGTTCTCAGCAAGTTAAAGTTTCTCCAAGGTTTCAAAGCATTCACATTTATGAATACAGTACATGTTTAGGTGTTCATGACAGATTAGTACATAAAACTGATAAAGGGCTGAGCCCTTTATCAAGAGAAGGCAGTAGAGCAGATTAATTCAGGATATATTGTAATTTGCATGTAGTTGAATAGATGCCTCTAATAAACCATTTCCAGACTCAATTTGCTACTAAACATTAGCTTCAAACTCTTCTGAACCTTGTCATGCTGCAAATGGCAGCATTGTAGTAGCTGTGCCATGAAGAAGAAAAAATTCTGTGGTTGTATAAATCAGGGCTTTTCAACCTTTTCACCCATTGTACCACTTTTAGGATATGGCAACATCCGAGTACCACCAGTTGCCTAGCATGGTGTCAAATACCTGATGACCCCCTCCCAAAAAAGGAAAAAAGTGATAAACTACAGGTAGTCCTCGACTTACAACAGTTCACTTAGTGACTGTTCGAAGTTACAATGGCACTGAAAAAAGTGCCCCCCAAGCCACAGCCAAGCAAGACACCTGCCTGCCCACCCAGCCGCGCTCTTCCTCCTGTCCGAGGTTTTCATTGTTGTGAGCATTTCTGTTGAGGATTGGCAGTGGGGGTGGGGTGGAGGGTGTTTGGCTTTTATTCCTCCCGTCTGCTGGGTGGTTGCAGCAGGTTTTGGTCACTTCACATGACCCTGGGACACTGTGACCGTCATAAATATGAATCAGTTGCCAAGCATCTGAATGTAAATCACAAGTCCCTGGAGATGCTGTAACATTCCAGCTGATCGGCACTTCTTCAGGCTCAACAGAAGCACCAGGATCAGCGCCGAGCTCCAGCTGGAGCCTGGCGCTGATCCTGGCACTTCCGCTGAGCCCTGACAGCCCTGCAGCTCCAGCCATCTCTCGCTCAGGCTTGTGCGGTGCTGCCACCAGTTCAACTCATTCCCCTCCCCCGCTACCAGTTTTCTAGGATGGTCGCGTACCACCTGACAGGTGCCAATGTACCACAAGTGGTACCCGTACCACTGGTTGAAAAGCCCTGGTATAAATCACCACATTGAGAAGGGGAGAAAAGAGGATTCAATGATTTATTTAATTAGAGGATTTATATAGTCATTCTTTTTACAGTATATATCATAACCCTCAGATCCCCTGATTTCAGAACTACAGTCAGATCTCTGCCAATCGAACCAAACACAATATTTAAGATGGGTGAAAAAAATCATTAAAGTGGCTAGGCAAAATACTTGCAGGTCTATCAGAAAAATGGGCAGGGCAAGCAGGCAGGGCAGGAATTTGTTTTTACCAAACTGTGGGACTGCCTCTGTCTCATTGTTGCTGCTTAGTCCAACAGATACAGCAAAGGAGGCACATTCTGGGTCTCCTCTATTAAGCAATGTCATGTTGTTGAATCCCTGTGTTGTGCCTTTTCTTGGCAGGGCCTGCCTATGAAACAGCATCCTGCTGGAGATCTGGATAACCCCCAGCCCAGTTAGCCTTTCAAACAGTCCTAAAGATTTTTCCCCAGTGATTTGGCTCAAGGAAGTTAGATGTGCCTCTGCTGTTGTTGATGTGTTGTTTGTGACTGGAATTATTGTGTTTTATACTTGAGCACCAGAGATTGTATGCTGTTCATGTTCGTATTTTAATCCTTGTAAGCTGCCCACAATATTATTCTGAGATGGTTAGTCACATAGACAATTTAGATAAATAACTGCATTCAGAGTTTGGGAAATTCTATGGAAATCATCTGAATAAGGTATAATTCAGACACGAAGGGCTCGTGAAGAGAGCCTCCTGATCCCTGGTCCAAGATGGCCTGCTTACTGCTTGTTGAAGACCCTATTTTCACAATGGAGTCTGCATCTCATTGCCAGACTGTTCTGAGGGAGACTGAAGTCAGATCAAGGTGACCTAGGAGGAAAGTTGTTTTCCATCAGAAGTGCAATAATGCCTTCCAGGCAAACATTCTGAACTGCATCAAAAAGGAATCTAAAGGTGGTCGGCAATCTGCACAGCTCCAATTAGCTCACTGCAGCACTTCCCTATCTGACTGTGAGGCTTTGTTCCTCCCTGTTTCCTTTCCGACTGCTGAAGAGAATAGAGCCTTGCTGCAAAGCCACAAGAACTTCTTCCACAACATTTTGCAAACATTCATTCTTGTTCTCTGGCTCAGAGAATTGCATCACGGATGAATGCATAAACACCACATTTTCGGCCATCCTGTATTTTAAAAGTGTTATATGGTCAAGTCTAATTGGCTTCACTAACTACGAAACAAAAATAAAAAAGAATATATGTTATTGTCACGTTTTCCAGAAAATTTTCCACAGTCAAAAAGATGCTAGTCTGAACATGCTATCTTAAGGAGATTGCCATATGCAAAGTCTAAGGAATATTATATTTATTAATAAGGTAAGACTGAGGAAATATGTTCAATATTACATATGGGAATCCCCATGTTAGGAGTATTTCTTATCCCATCTATATAGGCTTTTCCCACTGAGATAATGGATTACCCCATATTCATGCATAGGACCAGTTTTGATACATCAATATTTAATCAAGATGACCACTGGTATATAATAGCAACATTATGGGATCCTACCTACAATCAGAGTAATACCCATATTGAGGGAGCTGACCCAGGCTGTCAGCCCTCGACTTTGACTGAACTCTTCAAGCCATTCCATGTTGAGAATTCCAAGAGCCATTTGTGATCCCATGATGAGTATATGCACCAGGAAAGAAGAAAAGACTATCATCCAAGCCCATCCTCTATCAATATCTGGATTTGACTTCAGCTTCTGCTCCCTCTCTTTAGAGTTCTTTTCAGAATCATAATCAACATCTTCGTGACTGTCGTACATTTTCGGTCAAGTACCTTGAAAAAGATCAAATAATATTTAGTAGTTCCAGATAAAAGTTGCATTTCATTTACTTACTGTTATATTTTTAATAAGATGAAACACAAGTAGATGATACTTGCCAATTTGCCATTTCAATGGGACTTGAATTGGCTACCTTTCAGGATAAATCAGGATCAAATCTTTGGGGGAATTGTCCCCATGGAAGAGCAGGCTACTTTAAAAAAAATGCAGGCACCTGTGCTTCCCTTCTTGTCTGAGCCTTCCTCACCCCTCATCAGCACAGTAGGGCTGCTATTCAAGCTGCAACCTTGAAACAGGTGTGGGAGAAGATGGGAGTTTTGGAAGCTCTAGGATCACTAGCAAATAGGGTGAAGCAGCCAAAACCAGTGTTTCTCAACCTTGACAATTTTAAGGTGTGTGGACTTCAACTCCCAGAATTCCACAGCCAGCAATGCTGGCTGTGGAATTCTGGGAGTTGAAGTCCACACACCTTAAAATTGTCAAGGTTGAGAAACACTGAGTGCCAAACCAAAGAAGATATTTTTCTTTCAAAAGGAGTAAATTGTCCAAAGAAAAAGGAGGCACAGCAAGAAAAAGTGCAAACATATTATGACACAATGTGGAAAGTTGCAAGTATTCTACATGCAGGTCAGTAATAGAAGAAAAAAGCAGAAGAAATGGTGTAAGAAGAAAACAGCATGACTATAGAATGTAGTATTGTAATAGTAATTGAATAATAAAAGTATTGTAGATGTAATTATAGTGATAGTAATTTGTGTAACAATATAGAAATAATAGCAATAGGACAGAATATAGAATAGAAACTTATATATAGACTTGTAATTTTTACATTTTACTTCTGTATATTGGTTTTTATCAAAATAAAACATCTTCCCAACCTTTATAAGGAAATATTAAACATCTGTCCAGACTCCAAGGTTTTTGTGGCTCTTCTGAATCTGGGTCAATCTAATTGGGTTTAATTTTTTTTAAAAATCTGTGATTCACCAAGCTAAAAATGTAGGACACTTCAGGGTTAAAGTGCTTTCCTGTTTGCTAGAAGTACAGTCAATAGCTTTAAAAATGGTTATATTGCATCTTTAGCCAATATAATTTTAAAAGTATAATTGTGCCATGCTTACCAGCAGTCATGTAGAAGCACCTCTAAAACTAAAACTGATTAAAGAACAATATGAGGGAAAAAGACAACACATGGATTTTCATTTTCAAACACCTCTTCCAGTGGTACAATGACATATAAATATTGTACAGTATATCTGGTAAAGTTTTGTTTTGCTTATTTCTCCAGCTGACCTAAGGGAAAACAATAGGGGCCACAATCTAACCTGAAATTAACCCACCTGCTGCTTTCTATTGTATACCAACTGCACTATTGATTTTGCATAATTATACCATCTGTTGCTTATCTCAAGATCTTAAAAGCTGCTTTCTGAGCTGTGCCCCTTCTGAACTACAGTCTTAAAAAAACGTGTTGTGTTTGCACTATCATGTGTTCCCGCTAAAATGCATTTACTAGTAAATTTTGTTCACATCTGCAAAAAAAATCTCTGCCTTTGGAAGAGAGGAGATAACATGCTCTTAACACTAGGAAAATAAAGCAAAGAACAGTGGCAATTCTCTACGTGGGTCATTTTCTGCAAGAATAATATCATGAGAAAATATAGGTCTATTCAACTAAAGCAGTGGTTCCCAACCTTTTCTATACTCCGCACCCCTAGAACGTTTTTGATATATTCTCACACCCCTTACAAAAGTTCAAAATGGCAACGAATTATGCATATACACTATAATTTTGAAAACCCAAGTTTTCGCACACCCTGGAATATCGTTTCACACCCCCAGGGGGTACAAGCACCCTCGGTTGGGAAGCCCTGAACTAAAGAGGTCAAATTATGAGAAAACCAAAAGCCTTTCTCCAGCAATCTCGCTAGATTGAATTTTAAAATCTGGCCTTCTAAAATATAACTAGGTCCTTACTGGTGGGTGACAGAAATAGACAAACTCACTCTTCATGAGATCATTTCCCCACATCATTTCACTGTTGCCTGAATGATCAGAAGAGCAGAAACCATGTGAGCCACTTTGGTCTAGTGGTACCAAACTAGAAAACTGGGAATTGTTAAGTTCTAGTCCAGTGATGGCGAACCTTTTAGAGACCGAGTGCCCAAAAACTGGCCCCACCCCTGCTCCACCCCCTGCCCTGCCCCTGCTCTGCCCATCCCCCACCCCACCTGCCCGCAGGGCCACTCACCGCCTCCAGGGCCTGCCGCAGATCGCCCAAGCAGCCCAGCAGCGCTATGGCAGTCACGCCCTCTGCCCACGCCCTGCAGCATCAACTGTGCACGATGGGGTGTGAAGGCAGAGTCTTGTCTACGCTGCCTGGCTGCCATGTCCTTGGCTGCGCTGCTCCATGGGGGACACGCTCAGGGGTGACTCTCCTTCAGGGGGGCTGCTGGAGAGGAGGGGTCACAGGGGGAGGCGAGGCTGGGGCAACGGCACATGTGCCCACAGAGAGGGCTCCGAGTGCCACCTCTGGCACCCGTGCCATAGGTTCGCCACCACTGGTCTAGTCCTTCCTTAGGCATGAAAGCCGGCTTGGTGAATTTGAGCCAATCTCTCTTTCTCAGCCCCACCCAGCTCACCAGGTGGTTGCAGTGGGGAAAATAGGAAGAAAGTGTATTAGCTATGTTTGCTCTCTTCAGTTATTTTAAAAAAAGAGAGATAAAAATACATTAAAATGTGGGATATATAGACTTTACATGTTAAAAGTCTGTGGGATAAAACTACAAAAGAGCAAGTCCCACAAAATATACAGCAAAAAACAAACTTGGATGCCTTAACCTATAATTAAATGATGGTGTTGCATTAATAATTGATTTTTTTAATTTTATTAAAAATATTTACATTGTAGTGTATTTTACTAAAACAATAGCTATATTGCAGAGCTAACTCATTCACACTGCAGCTTTATTGAAAGATGCAAATTTTTTGGGTAATTGAAAAAACATTTGCTCCCCAGCAAAGCATTTCTAAGCTGACTATTTCTGCCATTTGCTGCAGTTGCAGAGAAACATAACAAAAGTATACGGTTTTGATATTTCAACATCTAGCAATAGGGAAGGGTATCAAACTGTTTACTTTTGTAGGACAGAATTTTGGCAGAAGGTGCTCTTTTTTTATATATACTCTATCTCTGTATATCTAAAGTGTAAATATACTCTGAAGCAGGAAAGGTCACTGTTTTTTCTAACAAATTATGCCCACGCCCCATCAGCTGGACAGCACTATGATAGGACACAAGCTCTCACCTCACAACTGAGTCAGAGTAACCTTGACCTCCCACCATAACTTCCACTCATTCCCTTGCATGGTCAGGTTACTGTTCCACAATTAAATACCATGAATTATTTTTTTTTAGAAACGTTATTAAAAAGGAGCAGGAAACTCTTTAGAGAAGCAATGGCAAACACTGTTATTTGTTCTTAATCAAACAAGATAAGCAATATGCAATGAAATATTAATCAACACTCATACTCTTTTGTCAGAAGCTTGATATTTAGGATTTTTTTAATTATTTCTATGTTTGTCATGACCAAGGCCAATACTTAATATAATGAGGGAAAGCTGGTGTGGAAGATTTTGAAAGTCTTGCAGGAATTTTAGCAATCACTTTCCTGTTTTGGTATTAAGGTGACAAATTATTTTTATTCAGGTAGAGCAATTTTGTTGTGAAGATTATATCTATCCTTCTGACATTTCAGGATAAAGACTACACTACATTTTACATCAAAAATAAACAGATATCCTGGGTAAGTTGTAAGTACATTGCATATAATTTTAATTTGCAGGATGCAGGAGGCAATAGTATGCTAGCTTGCAAGGTAATCTCTATAGTAGAGATCCTATATTAACTTAATATTGAATATGCCTGTAGCATCCAAAATATGTCACACTGATTGTTACCAGGGCTTTTTTTCTCATAGAACGCCCAGAATGGAGTTCCAGCACCTTTTTTGGATGGAACCTTGTAGGGTAGGCAAGGCGGGTTGTATGACGTGTGTGAGTTCCAGCACCTTTTTTTTTTTTTTTTTAGAAAAAAAGCACTGATTGTTACTATGCATACTAATGGTATGAAATGCTACTGTAGAGCCTACACCTTCTCTATGTAACTAAAAGTGTAATATAAAATCTTCAGTTGACCATGGCTATTATTAAGTCCCACACAAGATCAAGGGAACTAAAACTACTCAGATTTCAGAAAGATATATTTAATAGTGTTCTGGGGTAAGTACAAAATCTTGGAAACTAGGCAAAATTTTCCACTTTTATTTGCAGTGAGTTAATTAAATCGAATTCTCTTTGAATGATTTGAAACAGTTCTTCCCAAATTATTTTTACATAAGATTATATTTACATTTTTAGATAAATTATCAATCTATCAACTATTTGATTGTTTATGCCTACTCTTTCTTCCTTCTCAGCCTCCCCCAATCTCTTCCAGCCATGACAAGTGACAGAGGTCATTACGTGCAGGCTGAACTGGTGAATAATGTGATATATACAACATACACACATTTTCTGCATGAAGTGGTCTGGCCTTGTAGATTTGAGTTGATAAATAACTACAGGGAAATAAAGGTATAAATTTAATTATAAATGAAAAGGAGAAATATGTCAGAATTGATTTCATCAAGATTGCATAAGAAAGTAGAAATATACAGGTTGATGATAGTTGCAAGTCACATTCCAGTGAATAGTTACAATAGAAAAAACAGATGAGTTTTGGAGAAATTTCCACAACTTTTAGAATGAATGGGATCTGGGGATGAATGGGTGGCAATTATACTGCTTATGTGACATAAATAGACACATGAAACCAAAATGAGTACAAACAAAATATGATTGGACTACTCTTAAGTCACAAAAATGAATCAAAATGGTGACTATGTGTGTATCTGCTTAGAAAAAAGGTCCCTTTT